GCAGCAGCTACTAGTTGTTGAAAGCAGCAGTATTGGAGGTAAAACGACACTCATGAATTATAATTACTGGGTAAATAATTTTATGGTTGGGGGTCACCACAACATGAGGAACTGTATTAAAGGGTCACGGCATTAGGGGTTGAGGTAGAACCACTGGGGTAGAGAGATAGATTTGCGTGTCGTTGGCATAGAGATGGTAGTTGAAGCCGTGAGAGTGTATCAATTGGCCAAGGGAGGAGGTGTAGAAGAAGAGAAGGGGCCCGAGGACAGAACCTTGAGGGACCCCAACAGAGAGGGGGAGTGGAGAGGAGGTGGCAGCGTTATAGGTAACACTGAAGGAGCGCTGTGATAGATAGGAAGAGAGCCAGGAGAGAGCGGAGTCTCTGAGGCCAAGAGAGTATAGTTGTTTGAGGAGGAGGGGGTGGTCAACTGTGTCGAAAGCCGCAGAGAGGTTGAAGAGTAGGAGCACTGAATAGTGGCCATTAGCTTTGGCGGTTAGCAGGTTGTTGGTGAGTTTTAGTAGGGCAGTTTTGGTGGAGTGTAGGGGGCGTAAGCCAGACTGTAGGGGATCAAGGAGGTTGTTGTCGGTAAGGTGGGAACGCAGGCGATTATAGACTAAGCGCCCTAGGAGTTTGAATGTAAATGGCAGTAGGGAGATGGGTCTAAGGTTGTTCGGGTCGGTGGGATCCAGGGAGGGTTTTTTAAGTATGGGAGTGATGTGCGCGTGTTTTAGAGGGGAGGGGAATGTGCCAGTAGAGAGGGAAAGATTAAAGATGTGTGTGAGGGAGCGTAGGATGGAGGAAGAGGGTGATCGTAGGAGTTGTGAGGGGACAGGGTCAAGGGGGCAGGTGGTGAGGAGGGCTTCAGAGAAGACCTTAATGACCCTTTTCAGTGGTAGCGATGTCGAAGGAGTGGAGTGTTGAGGGGGTTTTAGTGTGAGGGATGCTAGGTGGGCTGGAAGTCTGAGCAGTGGCGATGTCCCTACAAATTGCGCCGATCTTGTTTTTGAAGTGGTTAGCAATCTCGTGGGCGGTGAGTGAGGTTCTGGGTGGAGGTGGGGGCGGAGAGAGTAGAGAGTTAAAAGTGGAGAAGAGCCGGCGAGGACTGGAGGAGAAGGTAGTAATGAGGGTAACAAAGTAGGCTTGCTTGGCAGCGTGAAGGGAAGAAGTGTAGGTGAGGAAGGCAGATTTATAACGGGTGAACGCTTGTTGGGATCTGGTTTTGCGCCATAGTCGCTCCAGCGCACGACTGCGTCGTTTGAGGTTTTTGGTATGGTCAGTCTGCCAGGGTTGTAGCGGTCAGGGTCTAATGCTTCGTGTTGTTGGGGGTGCTAGCGAGTCTAGAGCGGCTGATAGCGAGTTTTTATAAACAGTAGTGGCCAGGTCAGGGCAAGACAGAGGAAGGATGCTGTCGTAAAGTTAGTCAGCAGCAGAGTGGAAAGGGGCAGGGTTCAAGTTGCTGAGGTTTCTACTGGTGATAGTTTGACGTTTGGAGGGATAGGTGTTTGAGGATGAGGAGACTGTGAAGGTGATGAGATTGTGATCAGAGAGGGGAAATGGGGTGTTTGAGAGGTCATAGGGAGTACACTGGTGGGAGAAGACAAGGTCTAAGGTATTTCCGTCGGAGTGAGTGGAGGACCCTTAGGTCTGGTATGGATTTGAAGGGGAACCCCATGCCAAAATTAAAATAAAAATGGTGTGGGTTCCCCCCAAGCTCTATACCAGACCCCTAGGTCTGGTATGGATTTTAAGGGGAACCCTTATCCAAGCATGCAGCCCAGCAGGCCATGAAAGGGGGAAGATGAGTGACCACCCCCTCTCTCCTGAACCATACTAGGTCACGTGTCCTGAACATGGGGGGTGTTTTGGGGGAAGGTGGCTCCCCCCCAAAGCACCTTGTACCCATGTACAAAGTACCCCTACTCATTCACAAAAATAAAAAAAACCCACAGAGACAGTTTTTGACAAGTCCATTTTTAGCTAATCTTCAGGTCTAAAAAATTAAAAAAAAAAAGCCCAAAAACTAAAACCGTAGAATCGGCCATTGATGTGGTTAAGCCAGTGTATTGTTCCCTTGAAAGCAGAGAAAGTCAATTCTTTCATTACAATTAAAATGAGACTAATAAAGTCTTCCATTGTAGAAATGGCAGCCGACGTTCGGCGTGCTCTGCTGTACAGTCGCTCCATAGACTCTGTAGAGAAGGGGAATCAATGCTTCATATTTATACTTTAATTCCCAGCTGTGCTCTACATTCGAGTGCTTCGGAATAATCCGGTGCGGCGATAGAACTGAATGCAGAATTACACGTATACATTACTGAGCCCCCACAGTGACATACTTTCCAGGGAAGTGAAATAAATATACTTTGTAAAAGCAGAACAAAACACGACCAACTGGAGCAAAAAGGTGGTTTAAATCCCCGATAATCTGGTTAGTTTTTGTATAGAACGCCATGTACGTCACTATTACCGACTAATCTCATCCGTAATCCTCCGCTCTCTTAGTCTAATTTTCCTTGTAATCATCCCAGCGCGTTTTATTTTTTAATGCCAGGAAAATCGGAAGCGTACGTCTCAACAGGAGGGTGGATGCAAAGGTAGTGAATGGGGTGTTCAGATCCTGTAGTACAGATTATCCCCCCGTTGTGTCGGCGCCGATACATTCAAGAGAATAGGGATGCACTGCGAACGCACGGCATGTGATGTACCAGTTGGTGGTGTGGCATTTATAGGGAGAAGAGCTGTCATATAGCTTTGTCAAACGCAATCCCCAATGTGGATTGCTTTTCAGAGGTGCAGCAATGTTGCAACACATCTATATCCAGCCTACAGTGCCTTGTATAAGTATTCATACCCTTTGAAGTTTTCCACATTTCGTCATGTTACAACCACAAAGGTCAATGTCTTTTATTGGGATTGTATTGTTGGCTGGATGTCTGTCTGGAGGAGTGGGAGGAGTTATGCAAATATCAAAATGACTTGACAGGTGGATGTCAGTCTGGAGGAGTGGGAGGAGTTAAGTAAATTGAAAAATGCCTTAATGGGTGGATGTCAGTCTGGAGGAGTGGGAGGAGTTATGCAAATATCAAAATGACTTGACGGGTGGATGTCAGTCTGGAGGAGTGGGAGGAGTTATGCAAATATCAAAATGACTTGACATTGGATGCCAGTCTGGAGGAGTGGGAGGAGTTATGCAAATATCAAAATGACTTGATGGGTGGATGTCAGTCTGGAGGAGTGGGAGGAGTTATGCAAATATCAAAATACCTTGACGTGTGGATGTCAGTCTGGAGGAGTGGGAGGAGTTATCAAAATGCCCTCATGGGAGGATGTCAGTCTGGAGGAGTGGGAGGAGTTATGTACATTGAAAAATGCCTTGATGGGTGGATGTCAGTCTGGAGGAGTGGGAGGAGTTATGGAAATATCAAAATACCTTGATGTGTGGATGTCAGTCTGGAGGAGTGGGAGGTGTTATGTAAATTTAAAAAATTGATGGGTGGATGTCAATCTGGAGGAGTGGGAGTAGTTATGTAAATATCAAAATGCCTTGAAGGGTGGATGTCAGTCTCTGGAGGAGTGGGAGGAGTTATGCAAATGTAAAAAATACCCTGACGGATGGATGTAAGTATGGAGGAGTGGGAGGAGTTATGCAAATATCAAAATGCCTTGATGGGTGCATGTCAGTCTGGAGGAGTGCAAGGAGTTATGCAAATGTCAAAATGCCTTGAAGGGTGGATGTCAGTCTGGAGGAGAGGGCGTTCCTAGGCAGGCTGAACTTACATGGTTTTTGTCTAATCCATACCCTAACAGCCCAAAATGGGGTGCTCCTCCAGCAGTGACACCCTATTATAGTTCATTCGGAGAAGCACATTTGCACTTTATAATGGGACCTCATTAAATTTGGAGTTTTGAGGTTCACCTTTGTGGCTGCTGCTGGCTATTTTTTTTATGTATTTACACGCAGACCAGCTTAGGTAATGATGATCTCTCCTGGATTGTAAGCTCCAAGGAGCCGGGCCCTCTGTATCCTCATGTACCAAATTGTATTGTAACTGTCATGTCTGCCTTCATTGTGTAAAGCGCTGCGCAAACTGCTGGAGCTATATAAATCCTGTATAATAATAATATTAATGGTGATAATGGTGATGCTGAGCCTCTATGATTGGAAGAACTGAAGTCCAATGAATGAAAGGGGGGGGGGGGGGCAGGGACATGTGTCCAGGGTGTTCCCTCTCACCAAATGTTTGTTTACTTTGGGTGCACAAATATGCGTCTTTGGCATCAAGGCCCAGCCACCAAGAAGCTGCATATTTGTGTAATGTCAGCACCAAGGAGTTACAATGTCTGAGTGTCTTTTATCAATCAAAGTAGCTCTACACCACACCTCCATTCATTTCATTCATTGGACTCCAGGTGTGCAAAATACCAACCCCAACAGTACAGTACAATCAGTCTGTATATGCAGTAAAGCATGCTTGTTATACTCACTGTGAAATCTAAGGGGTTAATCCTCTGTATTGTGTAAAAACACTGTTTGATCCTGTCTTCTCTGATCCTCCCCTTCTTCCAGTGCCCCCCTCTTATCTCCTGATAAGACATATCATGTGGAGACACTCTGCACATGCTCGATTTGGTGTGTATTGCCAGGGAGGATTTTTTTTTCTTGGGAGAGTGCATGTGATCAGCACAAGGCCAATCAGCGCTGTCCAGACAGAGGTCAGGATTTCTGCATCATCCTAGAGAAAACTCCTACAAGCTTTAACCAGTGCTCGGCCGGACACTGATAGAAGTCAGAATACTGCTCTAACTGCTGATAAGAAAAGGTATTTAGCAATTTATATTTACTAAAATAATTGCATTTCCATGTTGTGTGTACTGTGGGAGACCAGATATAGTGAATGCGGGGTCCAGAGAGACCGGATATAGTGAATGCAGGGTCCAGGGAGAGCGGATATAGTGAATGCAGGGTCCGGAGAGAGTCGGAGAATGCAGGGTCGGATATAGTGAATGCAGGGTCCGGGGAGACCGGATATAGTGAATGCAGGGTCCGGGGAGACCGGATATAGTGAATGCAGGGTCTGGAAAGACCAGATATAGTGAATGCAGGGTCCGGGGAGACCAGATATAGTGAATGCAGGGTCCGGGGAGACTGGATATAGTGAATGCAGGGTCTGGGGAGACCAGATATAGTGATTGCAGGGTCTGGGAAGACCAGATATAGTGAATGCAGGGTCCGGAGAGACCGGGGATATAGTGAATGCAGGGTCTGGGGAGACCAGATATAGTGAATGCAGGGTCTGGGAAGACCAGATATAGTGAATGCAGGGTCCGGAGAGACCGGATATAGTGAATGCAGGGTCTGGGAGACCATATATAGTGAATGCAGGGTTCGAGGAGACCATATATAGTGAATGCAGGGTTCGGGAGACCATATATAGTGAATGCAGGGTCCGGGGTGACCAGATCTAGTGAATGCAGGGTCCTGGGTTTAGTAACACTTTAAGTGCATTGTGTTTGTGATGAGGATCAGATCACATTTTAGGAATCTGGAAGCTCCCTTATCAAGGGGGGTAAACATGGTGATGTCATCAAGTGACCTCGCCCCCATGTCTACCTATCATTTTGCGAGTGACATGTCCAGTGGAGAAATACTAGTCCAATGACAGGCAGACATGGGGGCGGGGGTCACCCAGTGATGTCACCTGGTGACTCCACCCCCATGTTTACCTGTCATTCGGCATGTGTCCCTGTACGGGACACGCCGTGTTCAGCTGTTTTTTTCTTTTCGCGCTGGTCAGTGTTTACCATGATTGATGTTGGATGTACTTCAATCACAGCTGATCACCATGTAAACACAGTTGCTGGTTATCGGCAGTACTTTCCTCATGCTGTCATAGCGTGAGGAAAGTACTGCCGATAACCGGCAACTGTGAAAGGAGACATCTACACTGATAGTCAGGATGCTGATTATCACTGCAGCCCCATCATTGCCAATCAGGGTCCATCAGTGCTGCCAGTCAGTGCCACCTATCAGTGCCCTTCAGTGCTAATTATTAGTGCTCTTCAGTGCTCCCTATCGTTTCCACATATCAGTGCATCATCATCACTGCCTCCTTATCAGTGCCGCTTCATCCGTGCCCATCAGTGCAGCCTCATCAAGACACATCAGTGAAGGAGAAAAATTACCCGTTTGCAAAATGTTATAATAGAAACAAAGAAAAACATTTTTTTTAATGTACAGTGCATGGGTCTGTAGTATGTGACGCAAAGTGCGGGGATCAGTAGAATTTAATGTACAGGGCAGAGGTCAGTAGTATGTAACAGAAAGCACAGGGATCAGTAGTATGTAGCACAATGTGCAAGGGTCAGTAGTATTTAACATACAGTGCAGGGATTGGTAGTATGTGATGCAAAGTGCAAGGGTCAGTAGTATTTAACATACAGTGCAGGGATTGGTAGTATGTGATGCAAAGTGCAAGGGTCAGTAGTATTTAACGTACAGTGCAGGGGCAGTCGAATGTTATGCAGGGTTCTGTAAGAATTCCATCGCCAGACCTTAGATTCAGCAGCAGCCGGCACAGTGAGGGGAGTCCTCTTAGGTCTCCCATCAGCCACTCTGATTTGAGGCCATGACAGACAGGTAGATTGCGTCGTCCCAATCCCGACCCCCACTTATGGTGATAAAAAGACATATTCAATACATCACTACAATACATGTACCTTTCATATGTTTTGTTTCTTTAAAAACATAATAAGCACAAAAAAAAATACTTAATCTGCCAGAATTTTAATTTTTGTTTGTAACTTTAACCACTTTCCCTCCAGAGGATTTACCTCCCTTCCTGACCAGGCCACCTATTTCCTCGACCTTTCCTCTACCCCTTCTCATCACCCTCTCCTCCCCTCCATCTCTTCTCCTCCCCTCTCCCCCCTTTTTTTTTTCTTCCCGTCCTCTGCCTCTCGTCCTGGTAGTGACTCACCATGCCCAAGTAATTTTTACATACAATGTGAAGGGCTTGAACAACCCGGTGAAGCGCCATAAATTGTTGAGCAAATTGTGGGGCCAGAGGTCCTGCATTATCTTCCTCCAAGAGACCCAGTTCCTCAAAGACAAGATTCCAAGGTTGGGCAATTTACAGTTCCCTATGGCATATCATAGTGCCTCTTCATTCTCTAAGTCTAAAGGGGTGGCGATTCTTATCTCAAAACAAGTCCAATGGGTGGACACCAGATTGTTATTGATAATGAGGGTCAATTTCTTCTGATCTGTGGGGAGCTTTGTGGGCAGAAAGTTACTTTTGTCAATTTGTATCTACTTACTGAAGATCCCGTCTCCTCTCTGGCGTCTTGTCTCTGATGGATCAACATTGTGAGGGGACAGTGATCTTGGGGGGAGACTGCAATGTGGCTCTAGACCCACTACAAGATGTATCGAGAGGAGCCTCTCACCTCTCTTATTCTAAATTACGGATGGTTAGAAAGCTACTACATGACCATCAACTTGATGGCTGGAGGTTACTACACCTTCATGATAGGGGCTATACTTTCTACTCTACTGTAATCATAAAACATATTCCAGGATAGACTACATATTCATCACGCAGAATGCTCCTCTGCTGATCTCCTCTGCCACCATTGGTTCTTTCATGATATCAGATCATGCCCCGACCCACTGTACTCTAGAATTGGGTGAGCAGGTTCACCGACCCTGGCATTGGAAGCTGAATTAATCGCTCTTGCACGACCTGACTTATCAGGGACGGATTGTGGAACCTCTTGATTCCTTTTTTAGGACCAATATCACTGATGAAGTTTCACTGTTCTGTCTCTGGGAGGCTCCTAAAAACGTTCTTCGAGGAGTTCTCATACGCCTAGGTACCCATAGAAAAAGAACCCTCGCTTCTCAGATGGAATCTCTATTGACTAAAATACGAGCCCTTGAGCGAATACATAAGAAATCTCAATCCCAGCGGCTTGAAGAACAGCTTCAGACATTGAGATTTAGTTTGAATTCCCTTCTTCCTGATCGGGCTAAGGTGAAACTTGCTCGGGTGTGAAGGTCCTTTTAAAAATATGGCAATAAACCAAGTAGACTTCTAGCTAGCGCTCTTAGATCCACCAGAGCCAAAACGTATATTTCAAAGATAAAATCCACTGGGGACATCCTGCTCTCCTCCTCCTCGGAGATCGCCCTGGCATTTCGAGACTTATATACTTCCCTTTATAATCTGACGGATGGAACTATTCATCCTTCCCAGAGGGATAAACAGGAGGCTGCTAAAGAATACTTACGAGCTTCGAAGATGCCTACCCTGATGGAGGAGGATGTCGCGGGTCTGGATGTCCCAACATCTGCGGATGAATTCATGGAGGCACTTGTTTCTATGAAACTCGGTAAAGCTTCTGGAACCGATAGCTACACACTGGCCTATTACAAGCAATATGTGGTCAAACTGGCCCCCTGATTCTCGGCAGCATTTAACTCCCTCAGGGAGGGCCACGAGATCCCAGCAACCTCTTTAAAGGCTCATATCTCAGTGATCCATAAGGAGGGGAAGGATCCGCCTCTCTGCTCTAGTTGTAGACCCATTTCCCTGCTTAACGTAGACCTCAAGATATATACAAGATTTTGGCCTCTAGGCTATTGCATATCCTCCCTTCGTTGATTCACCTGGACCGGTCTGGATTTACCCCAGACAGAGAGTGCAGAGACAACACACAACATGTCTTAGCGGCCGTACATTATTCCCTCTCGAGACAGGTCCCCTTGGTGCTCTTCTCCACAGATGCGGAGAACGTGTTTGACAGGGTCTCCTGGATGTTTCTGAACACAACCATGAAACATATTGGTGTGGGAGATGGCATACTGCAGTGGATTTCTGCTCTCTACTCCACCCCATCAGCTCGGGTTGGAGTTAACGAAGCGCTCTCAGATGCATTCTTTATTCGTAACGGGACCAGGCAGGGATGCCCTCTATTACCCCTAGTTTTTGTACTTACCATGGAACCCTTCCTAAGGACAATCAGGGTACATTCAGAAATTAAGGGTATTATAGTCAAGGGCAAGGAACACAAATTGGCCGCTTATGCAGATGACTTGATTTTCTTTGTGTCTGCACCAACCACCTCTTTACCGTCTTTGTTATAGGAACTTAGACTCTATGAAACTCTCTCAAACGTTAAAATAAACTATTCCAAATCAGAGGCTATGGGTATTTCTATAGACCACTCCTTTCAACAACAAATTGCCTCCCAGTTTCATTTTAAGTGGACTTCCTCTGACATTAGATACCTGGGTACGAATATCCCTCGGGATTTGCGACGGTCATTTGAACTCAACTTTGCCCCTTTAGCTAGGACAATTTGAGCTGATCTTTCATGCTGGGACAGTTAGGTTTTCACATGGTTCGTGCATATCAATATCTTAAAAATGAATATTATGCTCAGGCTTAACTATCTACTTCAAGCCCTTCCGATACGACTTCTGCCTGGCTTTCTGCTCAGGTTGTGGCCTGAGGATTATCCTCTCTTTGCCCAAAGTTAGGGGAAGGGTGGGTTTTTCGAACCTGGTGAAGTATCATGAGGCTGCGCACCTCACTAGAGTGGTGGATTGGTGTGTTACACACAATGCAAAGTTATGGGTACATCTAGAGCAGACCACAGTTGCACTACCCTTGGCTGGTCTTCCTTTGCACCCTTGGTCCTCTCTGCCTTTGTCAATCAAACAACACCCACTGATAGGAGAAACACTTTGAATGACCAGGACCATTTTTAAAGCTACTAATTTGTCTGAGTCCTCTAATGCCCATTATAGGGGCGATGGGATTCCTACCTGGACTCCTTGACCCCCAATTTCTGGCACTCTACCAGAGCGGCCTGTTCCACTTGGTTCATTTCTCCAGGAACTGTCATCTCATGATGTCCCAGCAATTAACACTGGCCTTTTCTTAAAGTTTAGATTTTCTGAGGCGAGCACAACTGGGAGCATTCTTGCACTCTTTACCGCAGGAGTTGATTACCCTAAGGGAGCTATCTCCATTTGAGAATCTCTGTATGACTGGTGAACTCCTGCGTCATTCACTCTCTCATTTTCTATACTTCCTTGATCTCATCTGAAGCCCTGCTGGGATAGGGACCTGAACATTACCTTTTCTCAAAAGCAGAAAGACAGGATGTTATATTTTGCCCAAAATGCCTCCCTAGCCAGTAGATTCCAGGAGGGGGGGATACAAGCTTCTTAGTAGATGGTGCAGGACACCAAAGGTACTTCATCGCATGTTCCCCCAGGTCCTGAATCTCTGCTGGTGATGCCAGGCTTCTGAGTGGTCCTTGCTCCATATTTTCTGGGAGTGCCCCAAACTGAGAGATTTCTGGACTATGGTGGAACAGACGGTACACGCGTTGACGGCGATAACCCTTGGAGGAAGCCTGGTGGCCTTTTTTCTTCACGACACACCTATGTCAAACAAAAGATACAAACATTCTCTCTTGAAACACCTCCTTAATGCGACAAAAGCCTGCATTCCTGTGATGTGGAAGAATCCATTGCCCCCTACAAAAACACATTGGCTTGCTCGCATTAACGAGATTCAGGAAATGAAGAACATGACTATGTTGCTCAAGGAGTAAGGGGAGAGGTATTGGAAAACCTGGACCGCATATTTTTTCTACAAAGATCAAACCGTGTTAGCTTCCCAGTTTTCAGCTAGCTATTAAGGAAGCGCAACTCTTAGCATTGTCCGGTAGTCTGTGGCGATCACAAATGGATGGTTAGGTGGAGGGGCAGGTCTCCCCCTCTCCTCCCCCTTGCTAACACCCCTTTTTTTTCATTCTAGCCTTTCCCCCTCTTCTCCCCCCCCTTTTTTTTTTCTTTTCTCTCTTCCTCTTCTTTCCGTTATTCCACTGGGGTTAAATATTGTATTCAGTGGTGGACTGACCATTCGGGCACTCGGCACTACCCGGGGACCCAGGGTCAGTAGGTAGCACCATGAGATGCCGCTAGTACCTTTCATAGGCTTTTTTGGGTGTGGTCTTGAGTGTGGGTGAGGACACAGGGGCCCCATGATCCCCTATTGCCCTGGAGCCCCATGAGTTGTCAGTCTCCCCCCCGGTTGTATTCTGTATGTTATTGTTATTTGTTAAAAGGACAAAATATATCGAAGAAGTAGTGTAGGGATGTGGATGGCTTGGTTCATCTCTACTTGTACTAAACGTTTATTTGTATCAGTGACTTTCTGCATGTGATCTGTACAGTCTCTGAGTGCCTAATGATGGGCTGAGCTCTCCTACATTCTGTCCTGATGTTTTTTTTCTGCATACTTTGTTATGCCATTTCTTCAAATTAAAGAATAAAAAAAAAAGAACTAAAATGTGGAAAAATTGGCCGTGTTACAGGAATGTACTGATTTTGCTTTTTAATTTTTGCTTGGATGTACACTCCAAACATACTACCTCTGCCGAGTCATCAGCAGGGGAAAATCAATATAGGAGCCTTTTATTTACACTTAATAAGTGAACAGCTTCATGCCCAAGCTCTCTTTTCTTGAAAATAAATTTCCTTTTGTATTTTTCTTATGGAATCTCTGCCACGTGCTCTTTACATAAATGATTTGGTCTTTGGAATATATTCAGACATCTATAGCAACATACAGAGCTTCTGATGCAAAGGTTAAGGAGGCATTATTAATTTCTATATTAAGAAGCATGGCAGGAAACTCTGATATTTCCAACCATGCTTGAAAAATCCTTCCGACAGCCTTTGTAGCCATGAATGCAAATTACTGTTTTTAAATGTCAGCTCAACCTGTTGTTTTATTGGGGCAAAATATACCCCCCGCTATCCTTTCCTCCCTGCGACTTGGAGTAAATCACTTGTCAAACATCATGTCCAGTGTATAATGTGTGTTGCAGCGTGCTACAATGCAGGTCCGTTGACTTCTTGCATTGGTGTGGCAATCAAGATGCTTGTTACCCACATAACTGTGATCGCCCTGTACAATAAGAATATGAACACTTACCTCTCTGGTGGGTGCGATGACATCTATAAAGGATAAGTTCTCCTTTTGGACAAAAAATAATAAATGCACATATTTTTGCAGGTAAAAAAAAATGTGCATTTATTATTATTATTTTTGTCTACAGGAGCCTGGAAAGCATTGCACCAGCGATCAGTAGATTGTTAATGCCATGCAAGTCTCCTGCAGACCTGTCAGAATATCTGCTTGCCATACGGTATGCATGGGATATACGGGATGTACAGGATGTATGGGATGTACGGTATGCATGGGATGTACGGGATGTACAGGATGTACGGGATGTAGGGGATGTACGGATGTAGGGGATGTACGGGATGTAGGGGATGTATGGGATGTACGGGATGTATGGGATGTACAGTATGTATCAGATGTACGGGATATATGGGATGTACGGGATGTATGGGATGTACGGGATGTATGGTCGAGCAGATATTCTGACAGGACCAGGGTGGGACTGACAACTCATGGGGCCCCTGGGCAATAGGGGATCATGGGGCCCCTGTGTCCTTGCCCAAACTCAAAAAAGCCTATGAAAAAGGTACCAGGGGCATCTCATGGGGCCCTCTACTGACCCTGGGCCCTTGGGCAGTGCCCGGGTTTCCAAATGGTCAGTCCACCCCTGGACAGGACACTTCAATGAGCCCACAGCGGTGGTTCCTTGAAAACTACAAGCCGAGAGCCGCTAAGGCAGTCAGGACTTGCATTTCATTCATTCCCAGAAGTCCCTCTAGCATTTCTGGCCGTGGCCATCTTGAGTTAGGGCGCGCAGCGTGGCGATCGGTGGTGCGCTGTGTCCCTGGGACACAGCGGATCACCGATCAACGGAAAGAGCCAATGACATTGATTCTGTCATGTGATCAGCTGTGTCCAATCACAGCTGATCGCATGTAAATAAGGAAATGCTGGTTATCGGCATTCCTCTCCTCACAAGCTGTCACGCTGACAGAGGAGAGGAGAGCCGGTAATCTGCATTACTCAGAGGGGACATGTACACTGATCATCAGGGCACTGATGATCAGTTTGCCCTGATGATCAGTGTAGCCCCATCAGTGCCACCTGTCAGTGTCCATCAATGCCACCAGTCAGTGCCCATCAGTGCCACATCAATGCCACATATCAGTGCCTACCAGTGCACATCAATGCCACATAACAGTGTCCATCCGAGCTGCCTTTCAGTGCCACCTAGCAATGCCAGTCAGTGCTGCCTATCAGTGCCACCTATCAGTGCCAGTCAGTGCCACCTACCAGTGCCATTAAGTGCTGCCTATCAGTGCGCATCAGTGCCGCCTATCAGTGTGCATCAGTGCCGCCTAACAGTGCCTGTCAGTACCACCTAGCAGTGCCAGTCAGTGCCACCTATCAGTGCCAAATAGGAGTGCTGCCTTTCAGTGCTCATCAATGATGCCTGTCAATGCCCATCAGTTCCACCTACCAGTGCCTCCTCATCAGTGCCCATCAGTGTCGCCTATCAGTGCCCATCAGTGTAGCCTATCAGTGCCCATCAGTGCAGCCTCATTAGCACACATCAGTGAAGGAGAAAAATCACTTATTTACAAAATTTTATAACAGAAAGTAAGAAAAAAAAAACTTTTTTTTTTCAACATTTTCTGATGTTTTTGGTTTGTGTAGCAAAAAATAAAAAAACCCAGAGGTGATTAAATACCACCAAAAGAAAGCTCTATCTGTCTCAAAAAAATGATAAAAATTTCATATGGGTACAGTGTTGCATGAGCGCGCAATTGTCATTCAAAGTGCGACAGCGCTGAAAGCTGAAAATTGGCCTGGGTAGGAAGGGAGTATAAGTGCCCTGTAGGCAAGTGGTTAAAGTGATCCCTATCTGGCCAGTCCCTACTTTACTCTGCAGATTGGACATACTGTATAGTGCCAACCAGGGGCGGACTGACAACTCATGGGGCCCCGGGCAATAGGGGATCATGGGGCCCCTGTGTCCTTGCCCAAACTCAAAAAAGCCTATGAAAAAGGTACCAGGGGCATCTCATGGGGCCCCCTACTGACCCCGGGCCCTCGGGCAGTGCCCGAGTTTCCAAATGGTCAGTCCGCCCCTGGTGCCAACATGGAGCAAGCACAGGCACAGCTGGAGGTGAGCTACAGACTGAAATCCATCAAATCCACAATAGGGGAGAGCACAAAGTTTTAGAGGGTGAACAGCACCAACAGGTAAAGATAATAGTCTATGAATGTAACCAGGTGTGTCCCCTAAAACAAAAAAATATACATATACACAGCTATATCTCCATCTCCACTGCAGGTCATAATGAAAAGGGCAGGGATGCCTGAAGTTTCTGGATGAATGTTCCATAGGAGTGATACATAATGCTCTCTGTGCCCTAACTCCTTTATATTTTGTATATTTTGACATTTTTGGGGACACAGCTGGGTATGTGCATAGATTTTTACCTGTTGGTGCTGTACCCTCTAAAACTATATATATTAAATAAGTTACAACTTTGTATCATCATTATTATTATGTAGCTACTTATCATTGTGTAAATAAGAATGTTATTTGTACTAATAATAAGAGAATTGTGGACACCACTGTCTGCAGATACATACTGTACACCACTGTCCACAGATACATACTGTACACCACTGTCCACAGATACATACTGTACATCACTGTCCACAGATACATACTGTACACAGATACATACTGTACATCACTGTCCACAGATACATACTGTACACCACTGTCCGCAGATATATACTGTACACCACTGTCCGCAGCTATACATACTGTACACCACTGTCCGCAGATACATATACTGTACACCACTGTCCGCAGATATATACTGTACACCACTGTCCACAGATACATACTGTACACCACTGTCCGCAGATACATACTGTACACCACTGTCCGCAGTGTACCACAGATACATACTGTACACCACTGTCCAGCAGATACATACTGTACACCACTGTCCGCAGCTACATACTGTACATCACTGTCCGCAGATACATACTGTACACCACTGTCCACAGATACATACTGTACATCACTGTCTGCAGCTACATACTGTACATCACTGTCTGCAACTACTACATACTGTACATCACTGTCTGCAGATACTACATGTACTGTACACCACTGTCCGCAGCTACGTACTGTACACCCTGTACTGTCCGCAGCTACATACTGTACACCACTGTCCGCACTACCTGTACACCACTGTCTGCAGCTACATACTGTACATCAACTGCCGCAGGCTCACTGTCTGCAGCTACATACTGTACACCACTGTCTGCAGATACATCCTGTACACACACTGTCCGCAGCTACATACTGTACACCACTGTCCGCAGATACATCCTGTACACCACTGTCCACAGCTACATACTGTACAGCTACATACCACTGTCCGCAGCTACATACTGTACACCACTGTCCGCAGATACATCCTGTACACCACTGTCCGCAGATACATCCTGTACACCACTGTCCGCAGATACATACTGTACACCACTGTCCGCAGATACATCCTGTACACCACTGTCCGCAGCTACATACTGTACATCACTGTCCGCAGCTACATACTGTACACCACTGTCCGCAGCTACATACATACTGTACACACCACTGTCCGCAGCTACATACTGTACACCACTGTCCGCAGATACATACTGTACACCACTGTCCGCAGCTACATACTGTACACAACTGTTCCAGCTACATACTGTACACAACTGTCCACAGCTACATACTGTACATCACTGTCCGCAGCTACATACTGTACATCACTGTCCGCAGCTACATACTGTACACCACTGTCCGCAGCTACATACTGTACACCACTGTCCGCAGCTACATACTGTACACCACTGTCCGCAGATACATACTGTACACCACTGTCCGCAGATATATACTGCACACCACTCCCATAGACACAGAATTTCAAGTATCCCTGTGACAACAAGTGGGAAAATTGCCTTCCTTTGGTTCAGTTGGTCACAGTAAATATTGACAGGGCTGATTATTTTCCTACCTTCAATTATCAAATGGAGGAATTGGGCTTTAAAAAAAAACTATAAATGTGTAGCCTACCCCTGCTGAACTGTCTTTTTGAAAACGCCAGTTGCTTGGCTGTATGTTGTTCCAAAGGCATAAATACGTTCTGAGTCACTGGTCCAAAACAAATAGGCATATGCAGGGGCAGACTGACAACTCATGGGGCCCCCGGGCAATAGGGGATCATGGGGCCCCTGTGTCCTTGCCCAAACTCAAAAAGCCTAAGAAAAAGGTACCAGGGGCATCTCATGGGGCCCCCTACTGACCCCGGGCCCTCGGCAGTGCCCGAGTTTCCAAATGGTCAGTCCGCCCCTGGGCATATGAGAAGTTGTGTCTTCCCTCTGACTTGTTCTCAGTCAATGTTGAAGCCAGAGAATGCTAATTAACTAGCATTTTCGAAAGGAGTTCATAAAGGAAGGCAATGTATTTTCCTGAGTACAAGTTTCCTTTGAATGAGTTATAATTTGGGTGGAATATATTAGTAATATGAATATATCATACACAAAAGAATATGTATGATTGTTGTTATTTTTATTATTATTATCAAGTGTATAATAAATTATCAGCAATATTGTTACATAGTAGTAGTAGTAGTAGCAGTAATAATAATAATAATAATTATTATTCTCATCAAGTGTATAATACGTTATCAGCATTATTGTTACATGGTAGTAATAATAATAATAAAATAATAATTACATTATTATTATTATTATTATAAATTATTATAAATACTAATAAACAATAAAATAGCAATATAACATTAATTGTTATAAACCTATTGTTATTTTTAATAAAAATAATAATAATAATTATCCAAAAAGTTTAATAATAATGATGCAAATTTTTTTATACACTTGTCAATAATAACAATAATATTGATAATAGTTTCTGTCTTCTTTTGTGTATGATAAATTCATATTACTAATAATGTCCAAATATTATTAATATTATTAATAATAATAATAATAATAATAATAATAATAAATTATTGTATTATTATTTTAATTGTCATTATTATTGTTATTATTCTCTTCAAGTATATAAATAAGTTTTCAGCATTGTTGTTACATATTTCTTTATTATTATTTATTATTATTATTAATAATAATAATAATAATAATAATAATAATAATAATATTAACACTGACAATGAAAATAATAATAATATACTCATTATTCTCTTTTTTATTATTATTATTATTATTATTATTATTAGTAGTATTATTAGTATTATTTATATTTGGACATTATTAGTAATATGAATTTATCATACACAAAAGAAGACAGAAACTATTATCATTATTATTATTATTATTATTATTATTATTAACAAGTGTATAAAAAAATTAGCATCATTATTATTAAACTTTTTGTATAATTATTATTATATTATTATTATTATTAAAAATAACATCAACCTGGAATAAAGCCTGGTCACTCATAGCTAAATGTTCGTTTAATACGACCACGCTGGAAGCAGCCTATAAGGTATTGTTTCGTTGGTATTGGGTGCCGGCTCGTTTGGCCCAGGCTAACCCTGCCTGTAGTGATCGATGTTTTCGGGGTTGTGGCCATCGTGGCGATGTACTGCATATCTGGTGGTCATGCCCGAGGTTGGTTCGTTTTTGGTCTCGTGTGTTTGGCCTCCTTTTCACTTTGTTTCATCTCTCCATACGCCGGGATGCTCGGTATGCCTTGCTTCATTGCCCCATACCGGGCCTCTTGGCTCGTCAGCAGCGATTGGCTTCCTATTTGTTTTTATCGGCCACTAGGACAATTGCCCAGGCCTGGAAGAGTCCGTTTGTACTTTTTCAGGGGGTGCGGGATCGTATGACTACTATGATGCTCAATGAACAGATGTCGAGTATATGCAATGACTTTCAACATAAATTTTTGAAAATATGGGAACCATGGTTGCAATATGCCTTTCCCACGCTCCCCCCGGCCAGTGTAGGGAGGTGATGGAGTTTTGTATTGGAGCTCATGGACCCTTGCTCTCTGGTGTGTGTTTTTTTGTTTTTGTTTTTTCTCTTTCTTTCTTCTCTGCTTTTCTTCTTTCCTTTTCTGTTTGTTTTGATGTGACAGTGGACAGCTGTCTTTAGTTGCGATAATCTGAGTTTCACTGATGTTATTGTAACCTATGTGCCATTGATAGCCCCTACGTGGGCATACGTTTTGCCTTATTGGAATTAGAGCGTTGTCTGCTCTATTATACATTTTCTATCGGTGCAATTGATAGCCCCTGCGTGGGCGTGTTTTGTTGCCTCTGTTTTATACTGTTTAAAATTAATAAAAACCATTGAAATACAAAAATAACATCAACAAGAATAGGTTGATAACAATTAATGTTACATTGTTATTTTATTGTTTATTATTATTTATAATTAAAGTATATTAGTAATATGAAAATATTGTACACATGAGAAAATTATAAAGTAATATTATTTTTTTTATTAGTATTATTGTTATTATTATTATTATTAGCACATATAATTATTATTACATAATTTATATTGTATTATTAGTATTAATAATCATAATAATATGTTAATAACAAATGATTTTACATTATTATTATTACTACTACTACTACTAATAATAATAACAATAATAATAATAATAATAATAAAAAAACAACATTAGGTTTGATAAAAAATACTGTTACGTTATTAATATTTTCTTGTTTATTATTATTTATAATTGGAGTATATTAGTAATATGATGATATAGTACACAAAAGAAAACAACTATTATTATTAATATTATTATTAGCAAGTGTATGATAAGTTATCATTATTATTACATAGTTTTTTTTAAATTTTATTATTAGTAATATTTATTTATTTCAGGTACTGATATAGCGCCGTCCATTTACGCAGTGCTTTACATATATATTGTACATTCACATCAGTTCCTAACCCTCAAGGGGTGTACAATCTAAGGTC